GTGGCTTAACAGTGGGTAGCACAATGTGGAGACTTCTGAAGTTTCTCCTTATTTCTAAAGAGTAAGTGTTACATTTGCTGCTCTTAGTCTCTGATCAAGTGGATTATAATAGTACTCTACTGAAAAGGAGTTCCTGGAAGTGTTTAAAAATTACCCACAGCTTCACTAAGACAGCCACAGATTAGAACTGCCAGTGAGTAGAGAAAATATATCCTTAAGCAGAGAAGGTGTGGATAAAAATGCATTTATTAAGTTATATGGAAAGAACCTTTAGAGATTCTATAATTTTGCACACACTTTCAAAATGGCTAACATGAAAAACAGCCATCGCCACTTCCTCCTCCCTCAACTGATCAACACAAAAGTACTGTTTAGAAGAATTAAAGATGTTACCACATTTATTACTACAACTACAAATGTGTTCCTGCCATGTCCAGGCCATAAGGCATTCTTTCTCTGTATAAATTGCCTTCTGAAATTTCACAAGTAGGCTGCTGAGAATATCCTGACCTATCCATGAAATGTTCAAAACGTGTGCAAAATCATCCCACCTATCAAAAACCAGATCTAAATTAAGAACATAGATTTAAAATTATCTTCCATTAGAACTAACTGGTATATAACTAGGGTTTAAGCAGCTATGTCTTTATGCATACTGTACCAAATCCCAGTAGTTTAATAAATGGTCAAACTTTTCTCACTTCCTAATACTATCTACTACTTTCACTTCAAACTCAACTTTCACTAAGGCATCTGACCCAAAGCATGCCGCTACTAGATGAACTGGGCTGTAGTTCTAAGAGGACATAACTACAAACACTGCACGAATATTTGGAGTTAAGGCTGAGCTACCAAATTGACATTCCAAACTTTGCTGGCAGCTGATTAGATACTTATATCCTATTCCAGCACAGAAATTGGAGTGAAGATTGGGGAATGCAGGCCAATACACATTCCAGGCTCAGCACTGAATTTTTGTTTTACGAGTGTAGTCAGTTATACTTAAAAATAGCCAACCAGATTCCTTTTTTCTTACATCTAGGCCAAATTAACAAAGACACTCCTGTCTAAGTCCAAGAGTGTGCATGCAAGGATATTTTCTACAATAAAGTTTGCTTTTTTGAGTTTAGTTTCAGTGTGATGTTTAAATAACACTGCTTCAAAGGTGCAAACAAAAGATCCCTTGTCTCACTAATTGGAGGACTTTGCTCTCTTGGTGAACAAAGCAGCATGGAATATTCCTCCTTCAAAACTAGCTTACTACAAAAAAATAATACAGATCAAAGGCGGAGGGGAAGGAGATTCTGGGAACTTTCTCTCTGCAGTCTGGGGCACCATCTTTGTTAAGACCCTAGTCTTAACAAAGAACCCTAGTCTATGTTCTGTGGTGTATGAGAGAGACACACAGATACTGGATGCCCACAGAATGGCCTGAAGTTACAGGGAGAAGACAGCAAGGGAAAAGGTCACTTCGTGCTTGTTGGCAATTTGCTGAGACTACCTTCAACCCACTGGCCCCCAACATGTCCCTAGAAATAGACCCTAGATGCACCATTATGATGGAGGTATGTGCATACATACAGGCATAGCTGGGAAGCTATCTATGCAGTGGGCACAGCAGAGTTGGAAAGAACCACCCTGGAATTCAACTGTATAGAAAAGTTGCCTTACTAACTTCAGAGGAGCTGTCAGAGCGACCCCAAAGCGCTCAGAATCTGCAAGCAGCAGTCAAGTCAGTCCTGTTTCAGCCTACTTTCCCCTCTCCAGTATCTAATGGAGGTTCCATGTATGGAGGGCCTGAATGGGCTTCAAGATTCTCATGAAATTCTTCTACAAAATCAATGCCTTAGGAGTTCATAAATAAGATTAATACCCCTGTTGCCAGAATGACCATAGTTCCCCTAAAAAGAGATCTAAAGATGAGGCTGGTGTTTTGGTTAGCTCAGACACTTTTCCTTCCATTTTCAGGTTATAAGTTAACACTGAGGTATTTGTACCATCGCTGAATATATTATATTTATGGTGTCATCCCATCTACGAATGCCTAGGGATTTTATTGTAATAGCATGTTATCTCATTGTAGGATCATCCTGAATTCAGTGTGCACATGTGCCTGCATCTCTAGGTGTGTGTGTAGCCCTGCACCCATACCCTGTTCATCTTGGTTCTTTTTTCTGTTATGGATTATTCCTATTTGTCTGTGATTTTGTTAGTTTTAAGATCCTGTATTAATGCAAGGAGAGCTTTCTTACTCCACCACTAGTGTAGCAATAGAACTGCTTTGTTCTGAGTGGGCATGCTCTAGAGAGGATCCAGACACTCACTGAGTGACTGGATCTTTACAGTCTACTCAAACCCAGACAGCTGATGATCCCATATCTTAGTATCACATAGTTCAGTGTAACCTTTGTTGGAGCTATACAGAATGTGTATAAGTATTTTAGATAATTCAAATATCTAAAAGCAAGGGTTCTCAGGAGTTTTAAAAAATATAAATTCCTAGCTCCATACATTTAGTTTCAATGACTATGAGGTAGGACCCCAACTAAAAACATCCCAGAAATTCTGATGTGCAGCTAGGCTTGAGAACTACTGATCTAGACATTTAGTTCTTGAGTCTGCTTATGATAAAGAAAGCTAAAATTCCAAAGCCAGTTTCTTAAAGCCACACAGGGCAGTGAATACTCATGATGCTTTTGAAGTGAACAAGTGCAACGCATACCAGGTTTCTCCACAAAGACAGTATCAGCAATTTGGGCAAAACCATTGTTTGTGATGTGAGATCACAGGGAGCTTGAAATTCTGACCCTTTCCCTCTAAATGCCAGAGAGCTTCCCAGTCAGTGTGACAACTCACAACAGTGCCACAGATTTCCAAAAGCTCTGTAGGTAGCCGAGAACCACTGCCAGGATGGATGTATCTGGCTCCAAAGGTAATAAACATTTCAGATACATATCAGCCATCCAACATTTACTTTCAGTTCCTTGAGATGGTGATGTGGATCTAACAGATTTTATTTTTTAAAGTGATCTCTATTCCTGAGATCAAATTTTTTAAAAAGCTTGAATCATAATGATCAAACATGGCGTTTATCACATTTCATTCATTTTTGTAATGAAGTTCTACCTAGCCCTTTGAATTTCTGAAATGAAAACCCAGAAGTACCTATCAACAAGTTCTAACTATTGGTTAACCACCACTCCTCACTCTAGGACTTTCCTCCCCCAACCAAAACAAGCAAAAAGACAAACTAAACAAAAAAACCTAAAACCAAAACAAACCCTATGGAGAGTAAGAGCATTTATTTTACATTGAACTTTTATACAACTGTAAAGTTGTTTTCTTTTTTTCAAACTAACACTCAAAGGAAAATGCATGTGTGTGGGGGGGTGAGGCTATAAATAATTAATCGTGGTCTGTTGCAAGCTAAATTCCTGGGATTCAAAAGGATGTTACCAGTGCCAACTTTTGTGGCAGAGCAAAGTTTTTCCACATATTACTTTTTTTGTTGAGACACAAGATATTTCACTTTACCAAAGACTTTTCACATCCACCAACCAAATGGTGAATATTTACAAATATGTGACTTCAACAAGTGCTGAGATTTCTGAATCTTGGGTGGCACTGGTGCAGTCTAGCTCTCCATTGGATATAGTGCTGATGAGATGCACAGAATAGGGCCTTTGGGTACATGAGGTCTCTCCAGGCCACTTTAGGTATGAGGAGAAAGGGAGATGCTCAGGTTCACGGAAGTAAGTTCATATCTCAAGAGCACCTCCCACTGGAACTGTGCTACTGGCATTGGATTGTGGTTTAATGAAATCTGGAGAATGACTATATGTTTTTTTCCCTACTCAAAACAATTCACATACCATTTTTATAGCATATTTTCTGTTTTGGAGGCAATCCATAATAAAGGAAAGGACTCCAGGCAACAAGCTTGATTAGCAATATATGGCTCTAAATATAAGTAACAGCAGAAATGGCTGGTTTGGTGGGAAGCTTATCAAATACAGTAGGATGGGGATAATTATTTCCTTTTTTCCCCCCCAACTTTTTAACTTATCTGTATTTGTTAGAAGTTTTAAGTGGATTGTGACTTGGGCACTACATCTCTATTCACAAGCCTCACTTTTCAAAACAGTTTTACAACACATATGGGTAAGGCTTATAATTTTGTTCCTCTAAACAACACCACGTCTTTGGAAAACAAGCCCTGTGTGTAGACTTTCAAGTTGCTTTAAACATACTTATTTCTAGAAGACTAGTAGTACATGCACAAACTATAAGGGGATGAAAAGTTTAAAAAGTAGATTCTAGAAGATGAACTCAAGCCATTTTAACAAATACTTTTCTTCTAAATATCAAGATATATCTTGGAATACTCAGTGACAAAAGATTTGGTCTACTAAGGAATCTGGCTTGATAGCCAAGCACTGTAGGCTGCAACAAAGTTAACAGAGGTTAGATACATCTTACAACACTTTTTACCTCAATCTGTTATAATAAGCCAATGTGAAACCAGAAAAGCATTACTAGCTCTGCTTTAGTGCCTAAAGTATCCCAGTATCACACTTAGAAGTAGAAAGAAACCTTATTATCTTCCTGGATGGGGATAATTATTTTCTAAATGGACTAAGACTTAATCCACTCTCATGCTTCCAAGCATATTTCTGTGAACAGAATACAATAGCATTATATTTCTTAGTTTCCATGAAGGTCACATTTTCCCAGACATTTATTATATGTTATCTTGTTAGTCTGATGCAACCTAGCAAAGGTACTTTATAAATCTACATAGTTGTTGAAAGTGTGACCAACTTGTAAATGTCCAGCCTTTGAATTACCATAATAGTCAACTACTGAGAAATAATTAAGAAAGATTTAGTCAATTTTTTTTGGCAACCTACCAATTATTTATCAAGAAGAGTACAAATCAAATTGTAAAAGAAGGAAGCAAAGCTGAAAATGATTTATACCAAAAAGTCACACTTGCTTACCTGAAATATTTTAATGCTTGGGCTTCTTATTGAATTTGGTAGTGGTAAGATGAGTTGTGTCTTTTTAAAGAAATAAGCAGTCTTCAGTGTTTTTATAGCATCGGTTACTACAGAAATTATACTTCTTTTACTTCTTGTCTTGAAGGGTGAACAAAATAAACAAACTGAAAATACTACAATGAATGGTAAATGATGAAAGACTTACAGTACAAAAAAGAGTGTAAAAAGGAAGACAAGTTTAAATATTGTTGTGTAAGAAAGTGATGAAAATAATACAAGAATGAGAATAAGTAAAATGATAGGCTGGAACATCTGGGAAGGTAAATGCAAAGACAAAGAGAAGAGTTAATTAATAATAATTTTTAAAACTTAAATTTGTATCAACTAATCTAAGTATTCATCCCAATTAAGATAACCATCCCCCCTTAAGCTTATATTTGCAAAATATGAAAGCCTGTTATACACAGTGCTTTCTCTCACTCTGATTTCCCCTGAGGGTATAACTTAAAAACTACATGCTCACAGTATTAAAAAATCTGTAACAAGGAAACTAAAAACCAATTACTTGATATAATAAATAGAAAAAGGTAAAATTTAAAATATCAAATCCACCAAGTTTTATCATAAAAATTATTATTTTTTTCATAACAAAGCAGAGAGCAACATGCAAGATAAATAAGCGATAGGGTTGCAATTTTTCTTAGTTGTACTAACAGGCAGTTAATCTAATATCATGCTTCTGTGTATAAGCTGATTTTTAAATATAAATGTCTTGTGTGTCTTAAAAGCCATGCATGCTGTGGTACTTCCGTGGGTTGTGGGTTCTCCAGTGGATACAGGACACCAGCCTTGGCAGCGGGAAGAGCATTGCCTGTTTTCATAAATTTATCTTTCACCTGGTTAACTCTGACAAAATGCATTGTCTTTAAGTGGCCACCATACCTGGCCAAAGCAGCTCAGTCCAATTCATCCGGTGTGCCTCTACAAATCAGGATGGAGGAAAAATGCTGGTTTTCCCTGTTCTGGAATAGTTATTACTATTTCTCTGAATTAGTGGTGCCTTCAAGCTGCAGTATAACACTCCTTCCCAAGTCCTGAGATTCCCCACCAAAGAACTGACAGTGATTTTCTCTGGAAATGATGATCACGTTTATCACTTTAACTTATGATAAAGGGGAGAATTTCATTTGTTCCTTTTGATAGAGCTCTAGACACAAGATCATGTCTCTTTACCACTGGTTTCTATTTAATAGATTTACCAGTGGGTATCCATCAATCCTGCTTAATTATTTTTTTTTAATTTATTTATTTTTTTAAAGGCCAGGCCTTCCAGAGCTTTCACCTGGATTTTAATTTTTTTTTCTATTTTTATTCTATATTTTCTTCTTTTTTAATATATTAGAGACAGGGTCTCACTATGTTGCCCAAGCTGGTCTCAAACTCCTGGGCTCAAGTGATCCTCCCACCTCAGCCTCCCGAGTAGCTGGGACTACAGGCATAAGCCACTGTGCCCGGCTCAAGCAATTTTTTTAAAAATCTTAAACTTAGTTTGGATCTTTGCTCGAAAATCAACAATTAGCATTTGAAGATTCCTATTCCTTCTTGCAGTTCAATGTGTCAGTAGAGTCAAAGTGAAAAGTGTTGACCTTGCAAAATAATAATGCTTCTTAAGAATCCTTTAACTTTTATACAAAAAAACTGAGGGTGACGGTGTTAAACTTCAGAGGGGAAACGGTGACTAGATAACTGGGGCACAAAAACCTCAGGCCTGAAGAAGGACAGAGTGAAGGAGCAAGTAGCCGGGCCTGGGCGTCAACCCCAGCCAGACCGGAGTGGGGACTGCCCTGGAGCGGCGCGGCAGGGTGGCCACGGAGACGCCCCGAGGGACGGCCACTCCGCAGCCGGCCTGGCCACCGCGCGGCTCGCGTTAGGCAGAACTGTACCTGACTCACGGATATGGGCTCCTCGGCACCGCGGTCGTCCGCGGACTTGGGCACCTCCAGGCGGTCGATGAAGGTCTGCAGCTCCTTGCGGAAGGCCTTCATCTGCGCGTTGATGCGGTAGAGCAGCTCGTGCTCGCGGATGCGGCTGCCGTCGTCCTCCTCGTCCATGAGCCCGAACAGGTCCCCGTTGGCCACGTAGATGCGCGCCTCGGTGATGATGGTGCTCGTGTCGGCGATGAGGCGGTCGATGGTCTTGCCCAGGCGCTCGGCCTCCGAGCGGATGTCCTTCATCTGCTGCCGGTCGGAGAAGCTCTTGGGCCAGGGCCCGGGCGCAGCGTAGAAGGAGCGGGTGGGCGTGAGGCAGCGGATGTTGCGCACCTCCTCCGAGTCGCTCTCGCCGCCGATGGGCCCCTCGCGCTTGCGGTGCGGGGGCCGCGAGTCGTCGTCGCTCTCCTTCTTGCCCGCGTCGCTCTCCGCGTCGCTGTCGCGCGGGCTGCTGCGGATGCCCAGGTGCGAGGCCAGGTCGTAGCGCTGCATGTTGGACATGAGCACGCGGTTCTCGTACTGCAGCTGCATGACCTTGCCGCTGAGCTCGTTGATCTGCAGGCGCGCCGCCTTCAGCTCCTCCTGCAGGGCCTCGGTCTTGGCGCTGTCGTGGTGCCGCGCGCTGTCGTGGCTGCCCGACTTGTACTTGTACTTGTTGAGCTCCGCCGTGATGCGCTTGTTCTGCTCCTCCAGGTCGGCCACGTTCCTCCGCAGCAGCTCGGTCTCGTCTTCCACCAGCTGCAGGTGCTGCCGCAGCTCCGACAGCGATTCACTCTGCTCCCTCATGAGCGGGTTGGCAGAGCCGTTGAAGTCATCGCCCCTCAGGTCGTCCAGTTCCGCCTTCAGGCCTCGGTTCTCCACCTCCAGTTCGACGATTTTCCTGCCCAGGATGTTGGCCTCTTCCTCCACCAGCCGCAGCCGAAGCTTGAGCTCGGCCTCCCTGGTGCTGGGAGGACCCCCGGCTTCCCCCTTGGGCAAAGGACTGTCCAGGTCCCCATAAAAGGATCTGTACTTCTGGAGCTCGTGTTCGAATCTGTCCTTTTCTTTGTCAATCTTGGCCATTTTCTTCCTCATCAAAGCAGCTTCCTCCTTAACGAACTGCAGCTGGCATTTCAGATCTTCATTGTCCTCCTCATTGTGGGGAAAAGAGGAAAAGAACAGATCATTTTTATGCAAATCAGGAAAACCACCAAAAAAGGACACCTGCAAAGAGAATTTCTTTTTCTTGTAATCAAGATTTACTGACACACAGAGAGAGTAGATGCTGTGTACTTTCTTCATATCACTTCAATTCTTCGGCAAATTAGAGACCAGGACAATATTACATCCTGGAAACAAAAAGGAAAAGGAATATGGAAAAAGAAAAACTGTGTTCATCGCTATTCGGAGATTATTATATGTTGTAACTGCACACAACTGTTTGGTGGTCATTTTAACAATGCTCCTTTTGCTTGTTTTGTTATTACTATACTATATATAAATCCTATTCACTGGAAGGAGCATGTGGTTAGTGTGCGCTCGCTGCCATTATTGAGCACTTACTCTGAGTCCCGTAAGTTCTTTACCCATATGGCCTAATTTAATGTTCAGAGTAAACTTATGAGTAGGTGTTAAAGTTCCTGGTTTAAAGATGCTCAGTGCCTTGTTCAAGGTTATACAGCTGATAAGTGGCAAAGGACTAAGGTGAGATTTGAATTCAGTTCTGTCCAAAACAAAGGCTGGGGTTCATGATCACTATGAAATCTAGAAAATAATCTGCCTTCCATCTTTATTCAAAGGAAATTCTCTTAAAAGCCTTTAAGTAGGGAATAACCCATCCAAGGAGAAACTATTATTCTATCTAGCTCACTTTTAAAATAGAATGTACTCCCCGCCAGTATGAAATGGATAAAGGTGGTTCTTCCTGGTGAAAGGATACAGAAGTAGAATCTGTAAAAGTTCCTCTCACACATCCTTATGCCAACCTTCAAAGCCCAATCACTAACTAAATTGAAAAGTACAAAATGAGAAGTGGAAATCCATTCTTTCTCTGAGAGCTATTACAGAAGCATGTTGACATATCTCCCAAGGAAAAATTCCCAAAATTCTCTTTTAAGTATGCACTTTGGGGTAATTATGCAACTTCTGTGAACTTTGGTTTCCTCATTTTTAGAATGGGAATAAAAATGCCTTCCTTAAGCAGTACTCAGAGTCACCTGTGTTGGAGATGCATTCTGGTAAAGAACTAGTGACCACTGGGGAGGAAGATGAGGAGAATCATGAGCTTCTGCCAGAGATGCTCAGTAAATAAGGCCCTGAGCTTTTGAGATGGAAGAGATGGAGATGAGGGCACAGGTCTCCTATCCTCCCATCTCTTGCAGGAAATACGAAGGATTTGAGAGCTGCTGGGGGTGCAGTGCCTGAACATCACATTCCTTATATCATTAAATTCTCCCATCAGCCTTTCAAGATCTGCCCTTTACCAGTAAGAGAGGTTTACTATGATAATACAGCAGAGCACAAGTTAATAGATGAAAGAGCACAATCTATTCAGGCTGATTCCAAAACTCATATTCTTTGCATTCACATGTTGCCTCTAGAAAAGAAGCGTGAAAGAAGAAAAATAGAGCAATGGGGTAAAAATCAAAGAAATCAGACATGTTGGCTTGTATACTTTCCTCTAGAAGAAGTTTAGAAGAAAGGGGAGAAGCACAGCCAGAAGAGATGAGAGAACCTAAGCAGTATGCAGAGAGGATCAGAGGGTATGTCATAGAAAGATTTGGTGGGAGAATCGATTTCCCAAGGGAAGAGAGAAGCTTCACTGCAAGAGACTATGTGTTGTGGCCTTCTGACTTATTCAGTGAAGATGAGACCAAGGGCTGGTATAATATTTAAGATTATAAGGCTGGTATAATATTTAAGATTATACCAGCAGAGGGATCAAAGATAACCTTGAATTTTTCAACTTAGGGGTCTCACTGGATTGTACTGCCAATAACAGGGATGGTGAATGAACAAAGAGTGGGTTTTATGTGAATAATATGGGTTTAAGTTTTTTAAAATGCTGTCTTTGAGATGCATCAGTGAAAGGATACTGAGTGGAAATACCTATCACCAAGCAT